ATATTCAGAATTCCCATGCTTGGCAAGCTGGTAGAAGGCCATTTTTTGTTAACTTAATTAGGTTAAAGGGTGCAGTATATACTTTAATTCTCTTGCATGCATTGCCCTCATGTTCCTTTTGTTCCTGGTTGCTCTGTATAGCTTTCTTGAATGATAATTAATAAGTAAAATGTTGGGAGTCATGGTTACAAAAATACTGCACAAAAACCACCAAGATTAAATGAATTGAAAATTGAAGATAAGAGAAAGTGTCTTCCTGCCTAAGCCACCCCTACTGAACTTGTGGCTGAGGCAAGATTAAATGAAGGATATTATGTTCAGGTTATGAACCAGACAAGCTCTGAATATACTGTTCTTTTTCAGTTCACAATTTCAGTTGTCAATCTGAATGTAGAAATCATGCAAACAAAGAAAAAGGGGGTAAGGACAAGGAGACAACCTTGGATGATGGCATGAACTTTAGCAATCCAGTAACGAAAGCAAAAACAAGAGTAACATTGTCTCTCGAATGCTGTTACTTTGTTCAGCTTTTACAAACACAATAGAAAGCTTTAAACTTTGGAAAATGTTCCAGTCCAGCCAAAACAAATAAACTAGAGTATCCAAGGTATTCTGTACTGAGTCACTTAGTTCATATTATGTAAAAAGGCCAATTTAAATCTTCTTTTGGAAGGCTGGAGTGGCTTTTCATTTTTTCCCCCAAGGAAATTAACTCACACGCTTGCCAAAACAGTTCAGCTATTGTTTGTAAAGGTGATATATGATTGAAATTTACCACTGAGTATTATTGATCATAATATATACAATATTGTTTTGATTCGGATTTCCCTAATTGATGGTGTCAGTTTCTCCAGTTTCTAACAAGGCTGTTTTAATTCAACTTAGTTGTATAATCTTTTAAAAGTAATATGTTTTTCTCCATTGTCTGTATTAAGGCATCACCAGTTCTGGTTGGGAACAACCAGGAGCTAAATAAAACTTTTCATAGAACAGTTTTGTCTTTTTGATCTGTTTAAGAAAAAATGTAGTATAACAAATGTATTATAACATTTTATGTACGTAGAAGTATATGGAAGACTATAGAAGAAACACAAGAATGGCTAGCTAAACATCTACTTAGCACCGGGAAGGAAGAAGGGATGAGAAATAAACTCAAGATAACTATGCCTTGATTCTCTTTAATGTAAGGGGGTGGGGGGCAGGGGAAAACTATGTGAGGCTTTCAATAACATAGAATTCCAGTAGTCTTGTGGTATCTATTTCCTAATCTGGCCTACCTCAAAGGACAGATAATGTAGTTGTTAAAATCTAGTAATTTAGAAGTATCATTTATATAATTCTTCTTCCCTTCATATGCACACTTTTTAAAAAGGTATATAAGAGATTTACTGAAAAGCAGAATAAATTGCTTGGCCGAATGCTAAAATTTCCTAACAAATAACTATATAATCTTGTTCAATAAACAGTCATGTCACACTGGAAGGCAAAAAAGAGTTTCAGTTCAAACTTCTGGAGTCCTTACTTTACTGGGGTGGGGGGCAACTTCAGGAGCCAAAGAAAATGATTTATAAACAGCAGATAGATACCCAGGAGGGACTTATGTTTGAAACTGTGCACATCTTCCAAATCAGGCTATAAAACCTGGATTTTGTTTAATAAAGCATTTTTTTTATTTGAATATGGGAACTGCCATGTGAGAGTGTAATTAAAATCCACTCATCTGTATGAAATGGATCAGTAACACTTACAGAGCAGTTCTGGAATAGTTTTATATAAATTGAGGTCTTGCATTATATCAAGGCTATTTAACCAAACAAGACTACTGAGAAAAAGGAGGGAGAAGGTATCAGGCATTTGGGGGAAGTTCAGGGTTGCAGAAAGAAACAAATCTTTAGGAATTAACCATACTTACCAAAAGGCCATAAAGTTCTGATTGTTCTTGGCAAGGGCTACCATATCATACCAAATTTAGACAAGTAATGGATGGCAGCAAAGAGATACAGAAAACATTTTTTGCTCCATTTAGTTGTTGGTCCAGATTTTTGTAGCCCAAATGTGATCACCCTATACTGGATGGGTTAACAGAAAAGTAGAAGTATAGCACATGCCATAATGAATGCATTAGTTAAATTAAAATTAATAATAAATTAACAGGTTATTTTAAGAAGGAGCTTAATTTGGGCCTCTTCATGAGTTTGGAGCTCAGATTAGGTAAGACTACCTTGTCTGCTACAAAAATCTGGATGACCGCTAGGTCAGGTAGGTGTTTGCAGCCCAGAGATGGTAGGCCTAGTATGGATGCATTTATGCCAAGAATTTTGCAGTCTTTCAGCTATAATATTGGCTATGCTCTCTGTTACTATTCTAAATATAATAATATTTAACATAATGAAAAACAGCAAGAGACAGAAGTCACTTCCAGGTAGGATATCCCATCAGCTCCTGAAAGCCACCAATGACTTCAGAAAATTCTGCTCTCTCTTTTTTTTTTTGTTAATTAAATGGGAAAGTGCTTTCTGTGCCTTGATGGAAAATAAACATAGTGTATACTGAGGAAATATCTGTGTCTGTGAACTTCGTAAAGCAACATGTTCTTTATTTATTAAGAAAAAAAGTATTGAAGATGATTAAAGCATTTAAAGATTAAGCATCCTTTGAGAAACATGATCATAGTTGCCATAAAAATTATATGTTAATTGAGAAGATATGATTAAAAACATCGGAGCATTTTCTCATTAGATAAATACCAACTATCTAGGGTTTAAGTTTTCATGGCAAGTGAGTAAAAGTAATAGCAGATGTTGTAAAGGAATATTGAGGAAACCTCTGGATTGATATAGCCCTTGCCAACATATTCCTCTCCAGCTGGAAATTATGTGAGCTACAGCAGTGTTTTTCAACCTTAGCAACTTTAAAATATGTGGACTTCAGCTCCCAGAATTACCCAGCCAGCATGCTGGCTGGGGAATTTTGGAAGTTGAAGTCTACATATCTTAAAGTTCCCAAGTTTGAGAAACACTGAGCTACAGTCCCAAATCTCTTGGGGGATATGAGGTTGAGGAGGTAGATCAATATATACACATACTTACTGGCCACTGATTTGCTCATATTGTATTGTTACAGGTCAGTTGTATGTGTGAAAATCTATTTGTTTTGAAACAAGTCTAATATACTACCATTACTGAAGTTTTTTTTTTTTTCATTTTAGAATGTATTTTTTAGGTGAACTACAAATACTACTAGATGTGCCATTAGTCACACTCAAACAAAGTAACAGTATTTGCAAGATTTTGGCATTAAGACAAAGCATCAGGGAAAATGCTGTGGAGTTTAATAAACAGCACGATATTTCATACATGACTGGCAAGTGACAAGTTATTTGAATACTAGCCAAGCAAAGCTGTTGTGGAAGATAACACCTCAGCAGGAAGCTATTAGAATAGCTTCCACAGTGTTGACTGCTTCTTTTAATTGTAGAAATATTTTATCATTTGCTGCTTGGTTTCAAAGAACTGATCCATGTCATAAAGCAGTGAAACTTGGGAATAAAGGCTGGAGATTTCCAAGAGTCAAAGAGCCAATTACAGCCAGATCAACTTCTTGAACGTTGAGCTAAAAATGTTGATTTCTGAATTGTAATCAATTCTTAAGAATATTCTTATTAAGTTAGGAATATAAAAATCAGATTTGGTTTCTGGAAGGGCAAACATTTAGAAACTATGGAGAATATTTACATACTTAATCTTGATTGCCAATTGAAGAATAAAGGTACTTTATCACTATGAAATATTAGTTTCATTCACATGCAACATTAAACCAGAAATCATGGTTTGTTGAATAAGCCATATTGGCATGTTTAATAAATATTGCCAAAGCATAATTTGCAAAACTGAGTAGCTAAGTTGGAAACAAAGCCACAAAATAATTTACTTTATGTATGAATCACAGATCATTGTGTTTCCAGTATTTGTTCACAGGTCATGCAAATCTGTATCTGAAAAGCAGTAGAGTTTCTAATCACTGATGAACAGGAATATATTGTATAAAGCTTAATGCTGTAGCTTTCCCTATGCCAGTTTTCCGTATCCTGTGTATTATTCCAGTTGTGTGAACTTCAAATTCCAAAATTCTCAGACAGAATTCTAAGATCTGAATTCCACACTTCTGTGTTTGGGGAAATGAGAGGGAAAAATATGAATTACTGGTAAATTCTGAAAAAGGTTCATAGTGCTGTCTTTCATTATTAATACTCCCCCACCACCCAGCTTAGGGCTTCAGGAATCTCAGGTTTAGTATTTTTAGATATTTTTACATTGATTTCCCAAGAATTATTGCATTTAGTTATTTATTGAGTAAACTAATCCTTAGAGAAGTCAGGCCCCAACAAGAGTCTATTTTCTGAACAACAAAAGCTACATTTTTGTAATTATATTGTGCTTATGAATTATACCTATACTCTTAATTTGAGCAGTTTTTTTGTAGTTTCATGCTGTGGTAAAATACAGGCAATTTCATACTCAGAGACGAAAGGTATGTGAGGTGCCTCAGATATAGAAGTTGTTATCCACATTCTCTTTGACTGCCAACTATACGTTAGCTATTTAGAGCCACTAATTGACAGGAGAAAGCCAGTTTGATGGACAGTGGTGGTTAAAGGCATCAGGCTAGAAACCGGGAGACCGAGAGTTCTAGACCCGCCTTAGGCACAAAGCCAGCTGGGTGACGTTTAGCCAGTCCCTCTCAGTCCTAGGAAGTAGGCAAGGGCAAACCATTTCTGAAATCTTCTCAAGAAAACTGTAGGGACTTGTCTAGGCAGTTGCCAAGAGTCAAGACTGACTCAAAGGCAGCAACAACAACAACAACCATTTACAGGATAACCCACTAGGATCTTGGAATATCTCCCCCCCCCCCCAAATATCTTAGTCCTTTCAGGGACAAATCTGAGTTTTACACTATCAAAACATCATAAAGTATAACTTTTCTTTCTTTCTCTCTTATAGATAAATCCCGGAAGTAAAGCTGCTCTTGCTAACCTTTGCCCAGGAGATGTCATTTTGTCAATTAATGGCGATAGCACAGAAAATATGACACATTTAGAAGCACAAAACAAGATCAAAGCTTGTCTGGATCAACTGATACTGTCTGTGAACAGGTAAATGTCTCATCTTTCTATCTCATGCTGACAGATCAGGTCTGTGAACATGTGGTTGGACAGTTTATACCCAGTGATTGACAAGTCACAAGCCGATGTTCATTGCCTAATCTTTTTTAAATTGATTGCAGAAGAGTGCAACGTTGGTTATTTTGTTATTATTTACATAGCATTTTAGCCTGATTTTCATGGCCTGTTTTGATATAGAGAAAGAAAATAACTTGCTTCTTATTTTCAACTGTTGCTGTAATCCCCTATGTGGTAAATTAATAAGTTATCATTTTAATTCTCAGCATGTGAATACACACACACACAGAGACACCTATGTTTTATAAAAAAACCTTGTTTTAGTTCATTCAGCCAGGAATAATTAAGCATTACATACTCCAGCATTCTCAGTAAAATGTTCTAAGTATACTGGGAATAGAAATACAGTCCTGTTCCTCTTCCATCTTGAAATATATATTTGGGAAGTGGGAATGAGGGAAAACAGAAGCAAGGAAGTCACAGGATACTGGAAAGAAATTTAGTAAGAAGTTCTGAGGACCCAGTCTTTCTGCGAGTTATAGAATTTTCAGAAAAAGCCAATTTTAATTGAAAAGGTTTTGCTAATTTTATATTAAAAGCCAACTCCTTGTAATTTTATTATATCAAGCATTGTCATCTGTACAATGACTGTTATAATTTTATTTATTATTTTGATCACAGAAGAAGAGGTAGAGCATCAGCTATCTCACTACACTCACTAAATATTGGTTAATTGCTTTATTTTATTCAATTACCAAATCATAAATAATCATGTGTATATAAAGAATATGATATAAATTAACATAGAATTGCCCCCAAATGTAAAATTACAAAATTTGAAAAAGTGAGATGGATGGCTAATAAATTGTGTAAATAAATAAATAAATTCATTTTCACAATTAAAACATATCATGGAAACTGCTTTGCACTTATCAAGGGGCAGCAATTCATTTTTCTTCTCTGATCATGTAGACTACTACACAAAATTTCTTTCTTTCTTTCTTTCTTTCTTTCTTTCTTTCTTTCTTTCTTTCTTTCTTTCTTTCTTTCCTTCCTTCCTTCCTTCCTTCCTTCCTTCTTTCTTTCTTTTTGGCAAGCAAAAAAGGGGGGGGCTTGCAATACATCATGGTGGCTTGGGAGGCAGGACAATGAAAGAATGTTTATTTATCTTTATAAAATACAGAGCTTAACAGGCCATTGATTAAACATTCTTTAAGCTGCAAGGGCAAACTCTCAAGCAATGTGGGTTTTTCTTTCATTTTCCAGACACAAGTGCTGAGGGCAAAGTGTTGTACTTGCCAATATGAAACCCCTTCTGTAATTGGAATTTGATCTGCTGGTTTCAGAGAACAATTTCTTCTTTTCAAATTATGGTAATTTGGGACCCGTGGCACATCCAGTTGGTGTTCTCTGTCCATTATTCTTTGCTTAATATTGGCTCTGGTGCTCTCTAATCCTATTGCCAAGAATAGCTCCAGAGAGATATTACGCATTTGGAACCCAGCTTTTAAAAGGTGACTCCAAAGAGAGCGATAGGAGTCTGTTAACATAAGAGGAGCCAAACCCAAGGTGATTCAGTTCAGGTTAACTAATAATTAAAGTTTGTGACCTGGATTCTTGCCTCTACTGACAGAGATCCAACCTCAGATCACAAAATAACACTGGGAATGTAGTTAGGAACTTGAAAGACTACTCTTAGGAACTTTGATTGAAATACTTCCAAGAGGCATGGACTGCAGAATAATCCAAATTAAGCTCAATATAAAATTTATGCTAAAGCTGGAATAAGTCAGTCCCTTTGAAGCCGAAGAAGCTGGAGAAGCCCATTTATGTTAGACATTTCAGGCTATGTACTTAGCATGTTCTTGGTGAGACTCATGACTGGAAAAAAATTCGCAGATATTTCAGTATTTGAACCTGTACAATTTTTACTGGAATTTTACAATTTGAACAGAATGGCAATATTTTAGGTCCTTTTGGAAAGATCAAGATTCACAAGAAACAAAACCCATATATTGAATATTTCATAGGATTATTCAATCTGAGAACTGAGTTGCTATATAAAGAAAGAATGGTTAAGAAATAAGTGTTGTTTCAGTGATTTTGCTGATTGTTGCTGGAAAAAAAATGAGTTAGAAGTAGTATCAGAGGAAGACTGTAGTATGCTATGACGACAATTGTTTATGTAAAAAAAGAAAGTACAGAATTTTGGGTAAGTGTTTCTCTAGAAGCTTATTCTAAAGATAAATACAGGTAATTATTAATATGGCAGAGTGAACAGTTTACTTTTGAGAAATGGAAATGCCTAGGTTGGCTGTAGTTGCATATTTTACAAGATTTGGTTGATTAATTATGGGAGGGGTATTTTATATTGGTTTTTGTCTCTTTGTATCATTCAGTGGAACTGTGTCCAAAAGTCTCCGAGTAAATTGCAAATTATTTTACAGTCTTTCCAAAATAAGTTTTCTTTATGAGGTAAATATTATTTCAATAATTTCAAAGATGCTTAGCTGAAAGACACTTTCAATCAGAACTAAAATGGCATTCTCATATGCAAAGTATTGTCACTACTGTTTATATTTCATCTTAAAAAATATTAAGGTACCATGCTCTTGAAAACTGTTCGAAACTTCAGGTTAATGTTCTTAATATGTTAGAAACTCAGTTCTGATATCTCTAGTTTTCCAGTTCCCTTCTATAGTACATTGGGGTGAGTTGATTTGGCACACAAAACTGCTGTTATAGATCAAATCTTTGTTCAATGAATTTAATTTATGTCTCTGATACTGGCCAGTGCTAACTCCAGAGAAAATGTGAATACTTAACAAAATTTGGATGTCTGCTTTTTCCTTATGTCTTAACCTTTCTAGTTTGCAAAAGATGATTTTTGACATGAGAGTGGGAAATATCCTTCTGTGATGCTTCCCAGCATGTAAACATTCCACAAAAATACATAAAAGGAAATGGGAATTTTTATTGCACCATACACGTAAAAAGAGCCTGGGTGAAATCTCAGAAGACCTCAACCATATATGTTTATGTCAGTTGGAAGTTTTCCAGCAACCTTGATGGGAAATGAAGTGCGTATACCATATACAGTAACAGAAGATTTCATAAATAGAGATCTTGTATTAAGTTTTCTAATTAGAGTTGCTAAATTGTCAGAACTTTGGAAGTGACTGTCTGTATATAGCATTTATCTTTCAATTATAAACCCATATAATTTAAGTAGCAGTTCATAATTGTGTAACAAAAAATATAAATGAAGTGAAACTTTGTTTTTCTATTACTTGTAAATTTAAGTTAGTATTTTCAAAGTTTGAAATTTTTTATGAAAATAAATTTGGAGACGGTCTGGATTAACTCACTGCCCTTCACAGTCCTGCCTTATTGTCCCTAATGCTTAATCAATAGATACAATAAGGCAGGACTGTGAAGGGCAGTGAGTTAATCCAGAGTATCTCCAAATTTGTTTTCATAAAAAATTAATTGCTGGTGATATTTACTTTCTTTGTATGTTTTCTTAAATAATAATTTAAACAAGATGATGCAGCACTGCAGAAAAATACGGAGGTCAGGATAGGAGCAGTGGAAGGACAGCAAACCATTAGTGTTTGGCCACCAAGGTACTTAGAATTCAGATTCCTGTTTTTTGTATTGAAATTGACTAATTGGTGGCTTGACTTCTACTGGACAATAGAAAGGGAGTTTGACCAGCATTTGTTACCATGAAACATGATGCCCTTTTGGGGAACCTGGCTATTAATGGTACTTAATTTTTTGCTTGACTTTGTGGTAATTAAAATATGGGGTCTTATTCCTCTTAGTGTTTAACATATACAGTACATGAAATTACTGAACAAGGTTATTTAGGATTTAGAATAAGGTGTCATCAGCTCTGTTCTAGGTCCCCTCCCCCATTAAACCCAGGTGAGATGTTTATTTGTTTACTTGATTTAAACTATCTTACATCTTTTAAAGTATCCTCTAGCATTATCTCTGTCTAAGCTTGCTTGATAACTGCTTGCTCTTGGATGCATCTAGTTTTGTTTAAATGCTTCATTTTATTCTATTTTATTTTATTTTTATTATATATTTCTAATCTGTTATTTGGCTAAGAGGTTTTTTCCCTAAGCCAGCCACCCAGCATTTAATTAACTATAAATAATTTCATTGTGGTTGTGCTACATAACTGAATCTCCAGAGAATGGATCTAAATTCATATAGCATATCCAGAAGATTGCATTAGAAATTTTGTTGGAACCCAGTATACATTTGATTTATATGAATCTGCTTGGCCATTTTTAGTCACATAAAAATATTTTTTAAAAAATATGCAATAGTATTGTAGAGTACAAAAATGCAACAATTCAACAATATTAGGCAAGTGCACACAGTGGTCAAGTATCTGTAGATGGGTCATAGGATTGGTCCTTCATTGAGGATCACATTTTTTTTTTAATTGTCTATGGAATTCTGTATTCCATGCCTTTCCGGGTTCAATTCTCCAGAAAGTGTAGGAGAAACAAGGTGGGTATATGCCTGTGTGAGCAGAGCATCAAAATACACAGAAAAAAATTAAAGTACCGAACAAACTGGAATTGCTCAACCATATAAACTGCTGCCACAGGGAACACTGGGAGAACATGAAAATCATAGCATAGTAAAAGAGTCGCTTTGTGTGAGATGGGCAGCTATATAAATGTGACAGACAAACAAACAAACAAATAAATAAATAAATAAATAAATTTGAAGTTTCAAATGCGAATAAGTAGTAGAAGAAGATCCAAGAAGCAATAGAAAGGGGAATAACAAGCCCCCCCAAACATTGGAAGAAAGAATGAGTTTGAAGGACGGGGAATGAGGAATTCCTTAGGCAATAAAAAAAAATATGCTAACATCTTAATGGTGGGCCAATCACTTGATTTGTGTAAGATAACTGATTGTTTAGGATTATATATCAGAGAAGAAAG